GCAACAAATGCTCGCAGGGAAGACGACAGCTCCCTCCTGCAAAAGCAGCTCCTGCAGTTATTATTGCTCTGATGTGCAAGGAAAGGTATCATAGAATTATCATTGGGTTGGAAGGGACCTTAAAGCTCCTCCAGCTCCAACCCCTGCCCTGGGCAGGGACACCTTCCACTAGAGCAGGTTGCTCCAAGCCCCTGTGTCCAACCTGGCCTTGAACACTGCCAGGGATGGGGCAGCCACAGCTTCTCTGGGCACCCTGTGCCAGCACCTCAGCACCCTCACAGGGAAGAACTTCTAACCAAGAGATCATCTCAGTCTCCCCTCTGGCAGGTTAAAGCCATTCCCCTTGTCCTGTCCCTCCATCCCTTGTCCAAAGCCCCTCTCCAGGTTTCCTGGAGCCCCTTTAGGCCCTGGAGCTGCTCTAAGGTGTCCCCTTCAGGAGCCTTCTCTTCTCCAGGCTGAACAAAGTCTCTCCCAGCTCTCTCCACCTGTCAAGAGTTTTAACACAGGCTACAGGGAGTGAAGGGGATGACTCAGTGTTAGGGTGATGCATCTCCCAGGCTCATGTTGTGCAAAATCAGTGTCGTGTCACCAAAACCAGCTATGTGTCACCTCTTGCCAATGGGGCAATGTGTTTGCAGACCCTTTCTGTGTCCTCAAATCGGTTGCAAGCCATCAAGCCTCAAGCAAGAGTGGTCCTACAAACCCTCAATATTACACCTCCTTAAAAGCAGACAGGCCTGTGCTGCTTCTTTGACATGATAAAAACTTGCTCAAAATGCTCACCCAAGATGCTGCCTCTTGTCCCGGGTGCAGTCGATTTGTGCTTCATGCTGCTGAGCCCCAGCAGAAGAGCTGAAGTTACTGGGAGGGGGTGTCACGGCCTAGGGAGTGTTGGTGGGTGGAGAACTTGTCTTGTGTTATTAATTTGCTGTTTCTTGGCTTTGCATCACGTTTCAGACTCCAGAGGGGGGTTGGGTTCTGCTCCTGTAGAAGAAAGGGCTGGAGGCGCCGCTGATGGATCTCCCGGCTCTTGTTTCTGCCATTTGGATGCAGGATGGATTTGGAGGGGGCTCTGGGCAGCAGGTCAGGGCTCTCCTGGCTTTGCTGGGCCTCAAAACACAGCTGGGTCTGGACACCGGTTCCTGATGTGCAGCACCCTCTTTGACTCATGGAATCAAGA